ATTTCCCCCAAAACTTTATTTGCTGATCTTTGAATAGAGTTTTAGAGAGACAATATTATTAATGTTAAAATATTTTTATTTGACAAAATAAGATCTTAAGGAAACTTATTTAACAGCTATTAAAATCATTCACATTTGAAGTTAGAGAAAGATTTAAAAAATTTTTTTAAAAGAACCCATGCTTACTTTATTTTTTTAGATGTGATTTGAGTAAAAGTTCATAAAGGATATTAGATTTTCAACCAATCATTCCTGCCCATTCCATAACATTAATTACAATTCTCATGGTGTTTGTTCATCCATTCTTTTGATATTGCTTTCCCCTTCACTCATCTTAGTGTTTATTATCTATTAGTTAATTTTATACTCCTCCTTATGCAAATTTTTAACAATATTGCCAAAGTTAAAAAAGCCAAATCCTTCTTTGTATCTCCAGCTGGTCAATCCCATGCCTAAAAGATCTTTAATGACTCCTTACATACATATTCTGAATGACTGCAAAGTTTTTGATAACCTGAAAAAAATTTTAATAGTTAGAATCTAAGAGCTTTGTATGTGGCAAATATTAACTCCAAATTAGATGACAAAATGCTTTATTTTCAGGAGTTTTTCATTTGCCTATAATCAAGGTAAGCTTTTACCTTTGACCTAAAATCAGTAGTTTCCAATTGTAAGGCAAATTGTAGTTCTTTAAAAGGAGGAATTGTGTTTTTAAAGAACTGTGTTTTCAAATAATTTCTTTGAATTTCTAAATCATGAACTGAACAAGATGGTGTAATGGGGTCCCTTGAAATTCACCAGAGGATGAAATACATTGTCTAACCCAGTGACTTATAGCACCAGAAAGAAATTTTGCAATGCTTCGGTAGCCTGAGGTGAACTTATTTTTCTGGCCTCTCTCCTGTTCTTTCTTTAACATAGACAAGAGTAAAGTGATATTTTATGTTGCAGTGAAGTTTCTCTTCCTATTTGTGCTACCCTGTAACCCAGAAAAAGCCTTCCTGCTGATTGGGTTTTGAGTGAAGCATTTGTTTATTTAAAATAATCCTACTATTCTAAACTAAAATGAGTAGATCACTAAAGACCATTTTGTTGCCCAATGCTCAGATCTTGAAGAGACTTTAATTGTGGTTATTGAGTTCTTTTTCGTTCCAAGATGATCTTGAAAAGGCCATGTCGGTCTGAAATGTCCTGGTTGGAGGAAACTAGAAAAGTTTCCTAGGTCCTGAAGCCGAGCAAGGATTTTAGGTGTACCTGCATCATGTTGTTAAGTGCCGTCTAGTGGAACTGAACCATAGCTGCCCCTCCAGCACCCCAAAGACTGTAAAGGAGATTGCCTTGCTTTCTCCCTTGGAGTAGCTGGTGGATTCAAACCACATGCCTTTGGGTTGGCAGCACAACTCCTTACCACTAGACTACCAGAGCTTCCCACCTAGATTATAGACCAGGTGATTTACCTGAAAGTGACTCTGAACCACAGGTAAAATTTCCCCATAAACACAACTAATAATTGGTGCTCAAATGAAGTTTTTGAAACAGTGTTTGGAACATAATGGGGATGGAGAATCTGATATAGCTGTCTTTGAGCATGACAGTAAAGATTTGGGTGACCTTGGGTGATACAAACCCTTAATATACTCAGGTTGGAGGTTTGGGTTTACCTAAAGGCTCCTCAGAAGACAAGCCTGGTGATCCGATGCTAAAAAATCAGCCCCTGCGTCCCCTCTAGACGGCACACACATAGAGTCATCATGAGTCCGAGTCAACTCCACATGTGGTTTGGTCATACCTTTATATTATTATCTGTTATCTTCTCAACAAGGTCTCTGTTGTTGTTGGACAGCTGGAATATTCTTTGAAAGTGAAGGCAGTGAGAATTTATCTTGTGCGCTTTGTTCATGTTACCAGGAAATACCTATTAGCATCCCTCTTTTCACAAGTGATACTTCTCAGATGCATCATGTCACTCTCCTGCAAAATCCATTAGTGCCACTCCAAACCTTTTAGGATAAAGCACAGCTTTTCATCAAGGCCTTCTCGAAGCAATTCATGGCCGCCTTTTCATGCTAGCTCCCTAGTCCTTCTGTCTTACCACTAATGCCACCCTCCTTGAGCCCACAGTCTATCATAAAGAGCTCTTTTTTTTCTCCTCTACCAGCTTGTTCAGTCTGACTGGGATGCCTTTCTTACTCCCCTGCATTGCCCATCTGATGTCCTTCAAAATGCACATAGTCACCACCTCCAAGTTATTCTTGAGTCTTTGCGGTTAAGTGACCATGCTGTAGGCTGCCATAAGGAGATATATTTGCTTGCTCATGCTATATGGTAAGAGCTCTGGTGACAGTGTGTAATTTAAGTATTGCAATCAACCAAAAATTCAGCAGCTTGAATCCATCAGCAGAAAAGGGGAGAAAGATAGGCAGTATCCTTGTGTGAAGATATACAGCCTTGAAAATCCACTGGAGGGTCACCATGATTCAGAATCAATTTGATCACAGTCTTGAGCTCTCAGATACAATATTATATCTCCCCAACTAGACTGAGATTTCTCTGAGAAGAGACAATGTTATTGCTTATGACTCATAGCAACCCTATGTACATGTCCCTAAACTCTGCTCTGTTCTGTGCCAATCGCACTGTCTCAGACACACCCACCCGATTACCCCAGTCACTGAATCAATCCACTTCATAGGGGGCCTTCCCCTTCTGCACTGTCCCTCCACCCTACCAAGCATGATGTCCCTCTCCAAGGACCTGTTCCTCCTTGTAACATGTCCAAAGTATGTTAGACGGAACCTCAGAATCCTTGCCTCCAAGGAGCCACCCGGTTTAACCCTCTCCAGGACAAATCTGTTTGTTTTCCTAGCAGTCCATGGTATTCTCAATACTCTTCTCCAGCACCACAGCTCAAAGGCATCAATTCTCCTTCTATCCTCCTTAGTCATTGTCCAACTCTCTGATGCATAACAAGTGATAGCAAAGACCATGGCCTGTATCAGACGTACCTGAGTCTCCAAAGAGACATCATTGCTCTTCAGTACTTTGGAGAGATCCCTAACAGCAGACTTTCCCATGGCAATACGTCTTCTAATTTCCTGGCTGCTGGTACCGAAAGTGTTGACTGCGGAGCCAAGCAAACTGAAGCTGTGAACAATCTTAATCTCTTCACCATCCATCCTGATGCTGCCAGTTGGCCCAGTGGTGAGAATCTTTGTCTTCTTGAGCCTCAATATAAACCTATAGAAGAGACAATAATCTTCATTTATCTTTAGGTTCCCAGCACCTAACATAATATTTGGTGCATGAATATAAATGTTTGTTGAATGAATAGTTTTGGATTTCTGTTTTAAACATTGTAATCAAAGAGCCAATCTCAATTTCAACCTTTCTATTTCATTGCATTGTTGTTCATTTTGAAATAGTGCCTATTTTCATTTTATTAAAATTTCCCTTTTTATTATGAATAGCACATCCTAACTCAGGTTGACTTAAGCAAAAAGAAGCAATGTTCTGACTCCATAACCAAACCACAGTGTTGACTGAACCCAAGAATCAAGACCCATTCAAATGTCCTCTATTTCGGTATCTCATCTCCATTACTCCTGAGGGGCTAATGTTGTTTTATCCTTTGTAAAGAAGACATCTC